AACCCACTTCTATCAATCGAAAGGAGACTGCGACCACACCAGAGGCCACAACATCTTGGTCTTCATATAGAGAAGAAAAGTTCCAGAAAGTTTCTCTTCTTCATGTACAAACTTCATGTGAGCCCATATTGATCTAAGCGAGGTTGGAACTGTAGTCCACCTCAGCCTAGATGAGAGTAGTTTTAGGGAAAGCAAGTCTAAATGTGAAATTAAATGGAAACGTAAGGCCATTCATAGCATTATGGAAAAGTTTAACTACAAGTTTGCTTATCCTCTTAAATGAAATAGATTGAATACATTTCATATATAAATGATCTACTGATAGTCTCGAGAATCTACTTATAAAATACGGTTTCAGTTATCATGGAACATAATCTTGGGTGAAAATAGTGGTAGGCCGGCCTACCTGAGCATAATCCTGTCGATCGAGCTCGAATCCGGAGTGCTGTTAACGAACCTCACCATCACTATGGTTTCGGATTGCCCCGACGCATCAGAGGGAAGCTCGTCATCCTTCTGGTACTTTGAAGCCATCAGACGTTGGGCCAAATGAGAAATTGGTGCCAGCTCCTCCCGGCAGTATGGGTCTGTGATTAAAAATAAACCACCACCACTCGACGGTGCTGTAGCTACAAGCTGTTCTACCTCCAGCAAACATTTCGCCAAACCTGGCGGAAGTTGCATCGATAGCGGTCTACCCGAGGCTCGGCGGCAACTGTTTCTGCGAACAATCTGCCAGTGGTGCTCAACCTCAATCTGAGTAGAAAAGCAAAGTTGATACCCCTCAAATGGATAGAGGAAAACTCGTGAATTCAACACTGACTTCTACTTCACAATCACAGTGTATGACTGACAAAGGAACAAAAGTATTCCAAAAATAAGGTATAAGAATTTCTCACTTTAATATGAGCTTTTATTATCTATTTCTAAAAGCCGAAAAACAAATTTTCCTCATTATATCGTTTTATAGAGAATCAAATCCTTAATTTCATCCATTTGGTTGAGGAATAGGCAACTACTTCTCAGCAAATGTTCAGCTGATGGGGCCTGGAAATGCACTAGCTTGATAAGCCTAATAGTCCAGCAAAATTATAATAGAATGAATTATTATTTTCATTTTCAACTATGTGACAATAACTAGTAACAATAACTAATTTTTAAAGCCAATGTAGCACAAGAAATATCAATAGACTTCAGAGTTTTATGAGGCGAGTTATCCAACTCGGCTATAAACAAATTCCCATCAAATCGTTTTATGTCCCACTTTTTGCTTTTTTATATTTAAAACGGGAGCTTTTAATTTATATGTCCCATTGTAGCTTACAGAGGCAACTAG